CTCATGGTGAATCTCGATACTATGTTCCGTTTTCGGAATATTTCGATTTGAAAATAATGGAGTAGTAATGATGCTGGTATAAAATGAATTTTATTGAGTTCAATTACCTATTTATTCAGGTTCAAAAACAATAAAATTATTCTTGTGCTGAAGTTATTGATGGAACAAAGAATCATAAGTAGAAAATTAAGAAATATTTGACTAGAAACATGAAATATTGAATCAGTTAGAGTGTGTGTTCAAAATGTCCTACGTTTCGAGGAATACCGAATCTAATTTCTTTTCTTAAGATTGTATTATTCATTTAAACAGTTGAGGATTAGCTGTTAGGTCATTTAAGTGATGTTCAATTATGTCACACAACTCTTGACGTGAATTCATCTATGTAGCATAGACTTTCTGCTCAAGATACAACAAAACTGTGTAATCCATGTTCTTAGTCAAATGAGTTTCGATGTTATTCTTATGATTCATTGTTAAATCGATGAGTTTTGCATCAGAAATGTATTGTTGTTTTCGGTTTTCGATAAATAGGTGATAATTTTTCATAATACTCACTCCAATACATAGCTTTATACCAGCAACAGTTACCACTTCATCATTTTCAAATCGAAATATTCCGAAAATGGAACAAAGTATCGAGTTTTACCAAGAGTGCCTTTTTGGTGTGAAATTGAATGATGTTCAAGTTCACATCAAATTTGGATTGAAAAATCTAATCTAAAAAAGTTATTTTCAAAACAACTCGGTACGAACCGTGTAACTAGCGCCCTCTATGAGAGTCAGATATAAAAACAAATGCATGCGATGTGTCAGATTCCAAGAAACATCAATTCAAAATGTCATCACAATGTTGCCAGTAGTTTCAACATAATCGTACAAAAATGTGTAAAAAAAATATTGTTTGTACTTGTAACTTGTATCTTGAAAACGGATGGCGTTACGACATTTTTTTACTGAACAAACCCAACTTATTTTGCAATGTTCTACCTACCCTAGCAAGGCGGTTAGGTATTTTGAAACAACCTGTATAACGTAATATGTGTTGTAAGAAGCATATTACGCACGAATGGAAAAGTTACGCACGCAGCCGCGGAGTACTTCAAGTATTGCCATATAGTACATCAAAAAAGTTTGGACACACAGTCTGAATCATAATTCTTGACAGTTATGTCATCCGCTGTTGACGGCGATTACGCGATCATGACTGGCGGAATAAAAGAAAACTGTGCGATGTGCTTACTGTGCGTAAAGAGCTACTTACTGAGGCAATATCTCGTGTGTTATTGCCTACTTTCTATAGTGGCCGTAGGTAATAGATATTTACCTAACAAGTGCGGAAAGCAGTTCTTTTCCGCAGGCGACGGCTGCTGCACGGACGACGCGGGGCGGTGTTTGCACAAGCCACCAAGGGTGAAAAAACCATTTTCCGTAAAGTTAGGTACAATGTGTTTCCTACGAGTGTATTTTTTCCATATTATTGATGAAAAAAATGTATCAATAAACAATATTTTATAATAATGCTACAATATGACACATAAGACAGAATAATTACATAGGTCATTCAGTCGGTCCTAAATATCCTCATTTTCAACCTAACAAAAATCGTACGAAAAAAAAAAACATTTCAGAACTAGTGCGGTAATGTAACTTTGCCGCACTATTTTAATGTCAATTCCAATCAAATAGGCAGAAACAGAAGTGCAAGTGGTTAAAAAAATCGGATTGATTACTTTACCATAGCAATGCTAGTCTATACTACTCGTTTATCAAGTATTTCGCGCCGCATCAGTTTAACAATAATTATAAATGCCAAAAACAGAATTAAACAGCAAAAGATATTCCAGTAAGTATGTAGAGATTTGTTAATATTTGCGAGGCAGATATAGTAAAGGACATTGAAAAATCAACTCCAGATAATACAAAAAGAAGTAATTCGTCCATTTAGAACCAATTTAGCGAATTTTGTAAACAACGAAACTTGGAAACCGAACAGTCAGTGAAAAATGTGTCTGGAATATTGATGAACTGGGACTTCAATATGAAAAAACAGAATGGGGAAGATTAAAAAGAATACGTGGTGAAAACAATGTACGCTCCGTGATTTTTTTCAGAAGCTAGATCTGAGCTCACGTGGTATTACCCCCGATAAAATCGTGCAAAAAAGTGAAAATCGTGCGGAGAAGTACAACTTACAAAACAAAAATCGTGCGAAAAAGTTACTTTTCCGCACGCTCGTAGGACAAAAATTTTTTTGTAAAGGGTTTTTTCGAATTCAGAGAGATATACGATGACGTCATGACCTTCATCCAGAAGACAGCAAAAATGAACATTCTACATCGAAATGTTTTACAAATTCGAACTGCTCCATTTCTTTTTTAGGAAAAAAGCTGATTAGTTATTGTTAAAGTTGCCCATACTTTTGCCGGTATAATGATAATCGTTCAGATGTTAATTTGATTTAATTTTTTTGAATGAAATGTAACTTTGAGTATGTGCTATATCTACATCTACAGGGTAATTTATAATGAATTGTACACAGAGCAATGATTAGCCAAATAATTCGTCAGTTAAGATGTGAATATTTCCCAAACGTTCAAGTACAAAATTACTGTTTATAATAGGGATACATAAATATATCGAAAAAAATATCTTGTTCCGTGCGAAAATCTACTTTACACCTCAACAGCTTCTCATGGACTACAAAGCACAGATACGGCCAGTTTTAGAATACTGTTGTCATGTATGGGGTTCAGCACCCAAACATACACTGATGCTCTTAGATTCCACCCAGAGAAGAGCCATTCACCTAGTGGGTGTTGCCAAACTCCCAAACTCTTTTACTCCTTTAGAACACCGTGAAGAAGTGGGCGACATTTCCCTTTTCTATAGATATTTCCACAGGAAATGATCCTCAGAAATCTCTGCTATAATTCCATCACTAGCAATACCAGTCAGACGAACATGCTATACCCAATCAGCACACCCCTTCGTCGTTAACCTTGAAAAATGTCGAACAATACTCTACCAAAACTCGTTCGTCTATAGAACGGCGAAGCTTTGGCATTTTTTGCCAATGTAAGTATTCTCAAGAACTTTTAACCTCTAAAAGTTTGAAAAAAAAACGAACACCCCAGATAGCAGAGTGACCTAAAAAGACGTCTATTTTACGTCATTTTTGGTCCACGACGTCTTTTGACCAAAATACGACCTGAAAATTACGTCATATTTCATGACGTCTTATTGACGTTCAATACTGTAGGTCTTAATGACGTCCCTACAAAGTTTTATATTCTTCCATTCGACCAAATAAGTCGAGTTATGACGACCACGACAATTTTTCTGAATGGAACGCCCTACATATATATCACTCAAATTTCGGAATCACCATGGAGCGCTCAGAATCTAAAAATTATTGCACATCATGTGGATTCTATACAGTGCGTCCAATAAATTCAAAGCTCTCGTAAAGTAATGAATATTATCCATTTCTCGGAAAACTTCTGAAGCAGGACAATTTTTAAGGAGAAATCAAATATACAAGATGGAATACATTTGAATTATGACGTCCGCTACACATTTTTCTAACGGAACACAGGGATCAAAACACAAAGTCGTCTCCACAATTTTAATTGATGTTTATTGAATTTATATAATCTCTATGTGGTGCTGGATTCAAATTCATATCACAACATGGGGTTGGTATACAGGGAGTCCGTTAAATTCAGTGCTCTCGTAAAACGGGCCGCCATTAAAAAAAAATACCGAAGACGTAATTTATCCTACAGGAATCATTATGTATGTATTGATTGAATTTGAAAGAGATCTCGAAAGAGAATGAAATTTTACTGCTTCGAGCATTCTTTCAAAAAATTATTCTTTCAATTTTGAACGAATTTATCCACAACTTTCACAAAACCATTCAATTCAACGAACGCACTGTATACAAACTCTTTGTGTCATATATTTTTGAATCCAGGTCTCCATAGAGATTTCAAAAATCGGATAATTTAGTGTTCCTTAAAAAAATTGTCGCAGACGTCGTAACTCCAACGTGAATCACCCTGTATATTCAAGTTTTCCTTATAAACGTAGATGATTGAAAATGAAAATCGACCTGTTTCAGGAGATTCCTCAGAAAGGAACAATATATGACTATCAATGATTTTTTCACTACTTTTTCGAGATCACTCAATGTAACGGACACACTGTATACAAATCCTATGTGGAATATATTTTTGAATTCAGATTTTCATGTATTTAAAAAAAATTATATAATAATAATATATACATATAAAGGGTGTTCTATTGAAAAAAATTGTCTTAACTCAAACGTGGAACACCCTGTATATCTGATTTTTACTTATGAATGTTGCAAATTGGAAATAACAATCGACCTGTTTCAGGAGTTCTCTCAGAAATAGATAGTTTGGCTAAAGATCAATTTATTAGCTTACATCTCGCCGACGCTCGCTACAGAATTTTAGGCACAAATATGAGTAGCTAACGATATTGTCGTATGAAGATAGGTAGGTAGTAATGATAGCGCTAGGATTGAACAGGCCGCCCGGGAGGACCATCGACCAAGTCACACAACGCATGGTTTCAGATGAATTTATTCAAATGTTCGTGGTGTATCATTATGTACCTATCATTCTGCGACGTCATCATGACGTCTGAATATGACGTCTTATGGCTGTGAGATTTTGACGTCATTATAGGGTCTCTCAGACGTCATTGCAGGACAAGATTTTATGACTAAAAAATGAGGTCAATCGGACGTCACTCTGCTACCTGGGACCTACCTCCTCTCCCTATCCTTCCTAGGTGCGCACGATGTTACACGAACATTAGAGAAATTTCCTTTCGAGCGCTCCAAGAGATGAAAGAAAAAAAACATCGCACCCACCTTTCTCCTCGGCCGCCTTCGGCTTCCTCAGCGGCAGCGTGACGGTGGTCTCTGCGGTGTCGAGCGGGGCGGACGAAGGCCTGGGGGCGACCGGGGCGGCCGTCGTCGTCCGCCGCACGAAGCTCGGCGTGCTTGGAGGTGGGCCGCCCGTCGGCTTGCTGGCGTCCTCCAATTTGAACTGGGGGAACGGACGGTCAGTGAGGGGTTTAGGTCGTTCACATTGTCACAATTAAGTAATTATTCCAAAAATTATAATCGAAATCATTAATTCAATAGTTTCATAATTTCCAAATCGTGCTTCTTCCATCGCCCGAAAGTTTATAAACATTTGGAACACGTTTTTGCATTGACTCATCAACAACCTAAACGACTGATTAACCCCCAACAGCAACGTACCGAGAATTACCTAAACAATAACAGTACTTGAGATTTCAGATAAATATAGATTTGTGGATATTCCAGAAGGCAGTTCATGATCGGTATTTGAATAGTTGCTGTCGGTGGTGCAAACTGTCGATTTGTACAGTCGGTTAGCACGTTAATCAGTTTAGTTAGGTCTTTGTGCGTTCTACCCGACAACGCTCTCCAAAAATGGCTCTATCTATATAGTAAGTACTATTTAACCATTTTATAAATTGTATGTCGTATCTATGATGATTCCTCTTCTATACGATGATAATCTAATAAATGTATCTATGTTTTGGATATGGTTTTTACTATTTCTCGTACCCCTTAACTATTAGTGTCTTGAGTTAATACAATCTACCCTATCTGAGCTACCCTAAAAGATGATCCAGTGGTCTTATGCCAGGGATCGAGACAATATCTTGTTATAACAGCAATATTGTTATGATAATGAAATAAAATGATATTGCTATGCAATTCTTTATTCTGTTGGGACAGTAACTGCAAGATTGGTTGTAAGTTCAAGTGATAGCAATCTTGTTGAAAAAATTGAGAATTTTTGAGCTGACAACACTCGTTTTTACTCATTTGTTAAGTGTTAGGTACCGTTTCAAATTCAATAAAATCATTTAAGAACAGAAAGAAAGTAAGATTACAAAGTTCAAAGAAATGTGGGATACTGATCTTAACCCAGATTATACCACTGAATTTACCATTTTCATTTTCAGATTTCAGTAGTGACTACCATGTTCTATCTACATCAACCGAACAGGAAGTAATGGTAAATTCAAGATTAATTAATGAAAACATCCTGTAACTCATTTGATTGCCAACGTCACCAATTGTCACTAACAACTGAAAAGTGTCAAGACAAATATGCATTTGCTATTCAAATAACCATTTTTTTATGTTGAAACGGGAGCAGATTCGTTTCCGAAACGTCCAAAGATAAGTGAAAATTTGATATTTTTTCTATATATACCTTTATTTCTCGTCTCCAAACCTTTTTCAATACAAATTGTCACTGACAAGCTCTCTGATAGGAAAATTCGTTAAACGCAGTGACATTTTGGCGCAAACCATCTGATTTGTTCTCACTACACTTATATTGAAATAGTATTCATATTTTTATTTCATAGAGACAAGGAGAGAAAATCCAAAAAAAAATCTGGAATGACTGTACCACCTCCTCGATTAACCTACAGACAGTGTTTCGTTTCCACTCACTTCATAGTTTTATTTTTTAATATATTTTGTTTATAATTCAATTGGGTATTTGGTATTAGTCTAAAAACAATCTCTTTCTATTCTTTTTAAAATAAATTAAATTTACTTATACAAATTTGGCGCGTTATTCTGCTGTGATTTTCCACAATCTCGTGGATTCAAACCACGGAAGAGACGACGCGAGTTTTTGGTGCGTACCTGCGTACCTCCCATGGTACGATTCGGTGACAGCGAGTACAGTCGAAAAATATACGTTTATGGTACCACTGTGGTGTTGTGCACAATCTCGACCGACTCAAGAATTCTCGATCTCGCTCAGGAACATTTTGATCGACCACTCTCTCGATCTACATCAATCTTCACTAAAGGTTAGTGATTATATCACAGCTCGTTTTTCTCATGTACTAAAGATTTTGTTTATGAGATAAACACATATTCACAGAGTGCAAAACATAGTAAATAATAAATACAGTCCATTGATTCGTAGAAGATAAACAGACAGTATTCAATACAATACAATTCATTCAAGAGAATTTCATGATTTACAGTATCAAATGTCTTCCTTGGGCCAATAAAAAATCCTTACCTTGCTGGAGCCGTTGTCCACTCTCAACCGCCAAGACGGTCTACGTTCTTGTATCGCTGGGGGCTCCTCAGTCTCGCGAGTTATCACCGTAGGAGTCCCGGTGGTGATAGTGGCAGTGACGACCACCCCGTTGGGTGATTGACCGTTAGAGCCGGCCTGATCAACAGAAACATGAAAATCACAAAATGTACAGGCGACGAAATTTGGAACCTTTCCGAAGGTGGCCAACAAACCAATGAGCCTTTACATCATAGCGTGAAAGGGTAATATTTTACGATACTGGAAAGGCCCATTGACATGAGAAATGTTTGTTGATAACCTTTACTTCTAGTCCAAGCAAATGGTATTTTCATTTGGAAAAAATTCAAGTAGTCGGTTTCTCTGTGGTTTCATATTTCAAGTTATTTTCACTATTCGAGAAATTCGCGAACCAATAGATGGTGCTAAGAAAGCTTCAAATTTTGAATGGCTCAGTAAAACGGTAACGATTAGGACCCAATCCGGGAAAAAATTCAAGTAGTCGGTTTCTCTGTGGTTTTATAATATGTTATTGGAGGTGCTGAATTTGAATCTGAATTTTGCAAACAAAATTTCCAGAGCCGTTTTGAGATATTCGCAAAAAACAGCAAAATTTTCTGACATTTTTCGGTTTTTGTCCGTGTTTACGAATGAGTACTGAGTATGGTTTACCGCCAGCAATGGAAAGACTAATCGAGCTCACCTGGAATCTGTCTGACGACCGGCATCAACAAATCCTCCAGCAAGGGCTCTGTCCAAAGGGCTGCTTCACCACCAGTACTAAGGGGGGTTGAGTGGACTGTATTTTGGGGGAAATTTCACACTATCGCATATAGCCTTAGCGTTTTGTTTGGGCGCGAGATTTTCGGGTTTTTTCAAATCGAGTCCGTCGATTGCTTCCAAAGCTGGACGGATATACATTCGAAGCCAAAAGTTAGGGTCCGGATTATATTGGATATTATTGAGTGAATGTGTCTTCATAGGTTTAGATAATCTTATTGTACGAATTATTATTTCTATGTATATTTATACTATAAACTAAACTAAACGATAATATTTTGGGGTTTTAACAGTCCGTAACTCGGAAATTATACATTATATCATAAAGATCGCCACATAGAAAGTTGAAGTAGATAAAATTTCCTGAATATAATTTCCCTCGCTCATGAATGTAGGACTAACGAGTGCGGAGATAGAGCCAGTTGAAAATTGACCAAATTTGCGTACTTTTCAAAAAATAGCGTTTTTCGTCGGTTTTCACAGATAATTCCAAATCTACGCATTCCTCGAAGAAATGAACTATACTGCCTGATGTGGAAGAGTCCTAGCCATGTGAATTCTTACCTCTGTCTGCATGTAACTCATGACTCTCGACTTGTCACTGTACGTAAGTATATTCACATCAACTAGGAAGAATATTGTTTTTCTTACCTGCCTCTTGTTTGCTGAGACTCACCAGCTTACGAATTGTTGAAGAACTCTTTCCTTCTCGTTTACCTGGAGATGCTCAACAGTAGTAAGATTTTTCACTTCATTCTCATTTTCTGAGCTCTGTGATAAGGTGGTATTTGCTTGTCTCACAGAAAGGTAAAATGTGAGCGAGAATTGATTCTAATACTTATTCATCACAAAATAGGTAGATTTGATAGTTTGAATAGTTTATCAGTTGTTTATCAAAATGTTCAAAGAATACCCAATAGTGGCCTATAGCATTTGGAATTATTGTATTGCAATTATAACAACTATAATTCCAATGTACAGAATTTGAATTTTTTTTGTCCCTCACCTCACAGAATATAAAAACAAAACAATGACCTATTTATACGTTTCAGAGCTCTAATGAATATTTATTTATTTATTTATTGAAAATCAAATAGGATAACGACAGACCCCAAGGTCCAGATTGTTATCCACAATTATTACATAGTTTCATGGTGTACATATAAATTAATAACCCAAAAACTAAAATAAGTTTGAAAAATTTGATAATGAAGTAAATAAGATTTATCATTGAAATGATTACAATTTGCTGAATATTCTAAGCACTGTGAGAATTGTATATGTATCTGATTTTTTTTTTGAAAACATTCAGTGAGGATTGAAAAATATCTACAGAAAATAACTTTCGATTGTACAGATTTTTCATTCTATGTAGTGGTGAATTTTCTCCTGCGTTTGTATGACAAAATGATACAGAAAATAAAGTATTGTTAGGTCTGAGAAAACGTGAAGGAACATGAATTGAGATTTTTGACAATAGGTCTGGAGCGTCAGATAAATTATTTAAAACTTTATACAAAAAGAATATATCAGATTGTTCTCGACGAGCCTCTAATGAATAGAACTGAAATTGTTCCAAATCATATAAGTTGAAAGTATGAACATGAGTGTGGCAACTACGACTGAAAGACGTCTCCAAGTTCGAGCGCTCTAACAGCCGTTCATCTTTTTTCATAATGACGAAATTTACATGAGCTCGATAGGAAATTTGATGTTCTTCTAATAGGTGCATGATGCTCTGTCTCTGAGTAATACGTAAAATATGAATTATCTGCGAAAACCGACGAAAAACGCTTGGTCAATTTTCAACTGACTCTATCTCCGCATCCTCCAGTCCTACATTCATGAGCAAGAACAACTTTATCTAGGAAATTTCATCTACTTCAACTTTTTATAGGGCGGTCTTTTCGATATAATGAATGATTTCCGAGTTACGGGCAAAAAACCGAAAAAAGTGCGAAAATTTCGGTGTTTTTTGCTTATATCTCGGATCGCTCCAGGAAATTTTGTTTGCAAAATTCAGATTCGAATTCCACACCTCCAATAACAATCAAAACCACAGGGAAACCGATTACTTGAATTTTTTCCCGGATTGGGTCCTAATCGTTACCGTTTTACTGAGCTATTCAAAATTTGAAGTTTTATTTATTTATTGAACAAATAACTTCCAGACAGAATAGGCTCTGGTATAAGGAAGTACATGTGAAGGAATGCCCCCTTCTAGAGATGCCGGGGGACAGTTTCACTCCTGTCATTAGATTCAGCAAAAGGCCTCAGTCAATTATCCCGAAAAGGGAGGACTGGGAGCAGTTCGGGCACCGCCTGATCCCTACCACTGGAATCATTTGGTACACAGATGGCTCCAGGATGGAGGGATCGGCAGGAGCTGGGGTATATGGGCAATCTCCGAAAGCGGAACTCAGTTACGCCCTGGGGAACTTTGCTACAGTGTTTCAGGCAGAGGTTTTTGCCATTCTCGCCTGTGTTAGAGAAAATATCAACAGAGGCTACCATGGCCAGCTGATCACGATATGCTCCGACAGCCAGGCGGCGATCAAGGCCCTCACATCATACAGGGTCAGTTCGCTGTTGGTGTCGGGGTGTATTGATGAGCTTCAAAGGCTATCCGCAGCCAATAAGGTGAAACTCCTTTGGGTCCCAGGACACAAGGGAATTCCCGGTAATGAAAGGGCCGACTCCCTGGCTAGACAAGGAGCAAATAGCTCAGCCATTGGACCAGAACCAATCTTAGGAGTTTCCCGATCCTGGAGCGTCTCAACCATGATGAAAAGCTTGGAAACGAAATTCCAGGAGGTATGGAGAGAGACTCCAGGCATGAGACAATCGAAACTCCATATCGGAGGCCCTTCTATCAGAAGAACCAAAACGTTGCTCACATTGAGCAGAAAAGAAATAAGAATAGTGGTAGGGCTCCTCACGGGTCACTGCCATCTAAACAGGCACCTCAACATTATGGGTATCACTGATGATGCTGAATGTAGGTGGTGCCTGGAGGACGAGGAGTCAGCTACTCACATCCTCACGGAATGCCCAGCAGTTGCAGCAATACGGGAAGCACATCTCGGGAACATCGTTTTGGAACCAGAGAGTGTGAGAAGGGTTTCGTTGAGAAGGCTGGTCTCTTTCGCCCGCGAAATTGGCTACCTTCATGACTAAACCAATTCCCAGCAGAGGTGGGTGCATAACGGGCCCGAACTAGGAGGCCTACATGCTGAAGGATCCGTCCGCCCACATAGTTTAATCTATCTATCTATCTATCTAAGGAAGTACATAATTATATACCTATAGGTAAACATATCATTATACAAAATATATCAACAATGGTAAATTGACAAACAGAGAATAATATTTGTAAAAAAAAAAAAATGGCATGTTCAATTTTATCCAGTTCGCTCAGAAATAATCAATTTCTTCACTTCATTTTTGAATGAACCTATATTTCTGCAATTTTTTATATTGTCAGGTAGTTTATTGAATTCAGTTAAGGCTGAATGAGTGAATCTTTTTTGTCCGATAATGGAGCTAGCGGCGTCAAGATGAAACAAGTTATATTGTCTTGTTTCATGATTATGAATTTCAGAATTCCGTATAAACATAAAATTCGACTTCAATTTTTCATTTATGATATTATAAGATATTTTGAGAGTTTCAATTCTATATGCATTGTTAATGCTCACTTTATTATTAACCTGTATGAATATTCGCCTGTGGGAAATAAATTTACTTACTTACTTACTTACTTACTTACTACTTACTTACTATATATTTCATCTGAAGAATACGTATTTGTTATTTCAAACAATTGATTGGTTGGTGTATCAAATGGGAGACGATACAATACTTTTAACGATTTTCTATATAATGTTGATATTTTATTGAAATTGTTCTTTGAACAAGTTCCCCAAACATTTATTAAATAGTTGATACGACTCAGTATATGAGAGTAGAGAATTATGTTTGCAATTTTAATATCAAGTTTGGGACATCTTCTCAATGCACCAATAATTGGAGATATTTTTTTTTGTCAGAACATCAATATGTTTGTCCCACTTCAACCATTTTTCAAATATTTTCAAGTCTTCATTTATCATATTTTCTGAATTTGAAGGATTCTTGCCTTCATATAAAAGTACTGTATCATCTGCATACATGGTATATTTACTCGTGAGACCAATTTCACTGATATTTTGAACATAAAGTAAATATAGTATAGGTCCTAAAATAGAGCCCTGTGGGACACCCTTATTGATTAATAGTTTATTTGACAGAGAGTTGGTTGATTTTGTATTGATTGTCCTATTTTCAAGATATGAATTCAAAATATTTCTCACAGTGCCTCTGAGTTCCATTGTTTCTAAGTTTTCTAAAAGTGTTGTATGATCAACTGTGTCAAAAGCCTTTTTGAGATCAATGAAAACAGCTACCACATAATTTCTTGAATCAAGTCCTCTCTGGATTGATTCTATCACTTGTAATACTGCTGCTTGTGTTCCACTGTTTTCTTGAAAACCAAATTGATTAGAATCGAAGCTATAGTTTTCCCAGCACTATCTATTGGTTCGCGAATTCCTCGAATAGTGAAAATACCTTGAGATCTACACGAAATTCTTAACATTATCATTCATAACATGCATTGAACATACCTCGTTGGCGGTTTCGTTGTTATTGTCGCTGTTCGATTGATTCTTCTTCTTGACCAGCTGCTCGGCCGACTTGATCTCCTCCAAGGTCACGCCCTGGGTGGAGCGACGCGTTTCGCGCACGCGCTTCGCATGCGCCTTCCTCTGCGTCTCGCTCTCCTCGTCTCTCACGGGAGGCACGAACGATCTGGAAACCGCCGAAGAATAGTTGAAAGAATCGCGAAAACGTTCATTACGTGAGAGATCGACACCTTCGCAAAAGGCCGCGACAGGCTCGTGCCAGTATCGTGACAGAGTTAATGGCTGGCGTTTGCAGAATATAGAGTGAGTTTATAAATAGGGTGACAACAATAGTGGTAGTGAGGGTTACTTAGCTGTGTGCACGTGTAGATATACAAATAATGTACCAAATTTTGTATTTCGTGCAAAATAATTTATCAAGATTTTTCGTAGCAGAGCGCTTTCGACTATACAGTCATCAGTGCTTACCTGTGAGTAAGTTGTAAGGGTCTTTATTCTGTGGCCCTTACTTTGGCGCTCTGTTCAGGACAGGAGACTACTCTGGTATTTGACAGGGGGGGGGGATTCTCGAGCGCCAGATTGTTTTGAGGTAGTTTACTCTACCTGCTCAGCACAAAATATTTTTTGGTACAGAGGCCCAAATTAGCAACAGTGGAGAAAGGTACAGGAGGTATACCTACCTCGGTACCCACAGTATAAACCAGGGGTCAATGGTATTGAATCGACCTGGAATCAATAGGACGCCACGGGAGTGTAGGCTTTAATTGCAAACCCTGGGTTTAGCCTGGAATACTGGTTGCTATTTTTAGTCGGTATAATTACAGGAATCAACACAAATATCTTTCGGGACTCTCTGGTATTTGGAGGTTAGGTCTGGAAAATTATTTAATCAAACTATTTCATCATTTCTACCTGGAGAATCGGAAACACAGTTTCAAACGAATCAAACAGATTCAATTCCTATTTATCTTTCCTTTTCCTTCAATTTCCTAATTTTCTAATATCGGGATTTTAGTGAGGTTAATTAATTATATTTTTCCATTCATGTCAATAGTTCATGAAACATAGATCACCGCCTGACGGGACACAAAGCACAGAGACCCGGATGCACAGGACAGGATTTCTCGAGGAAAAGAAGAAGAAGAAATGTTAACTGGCTTGTCAGTGTCAGTCGACAGTCAATAATAATATTCTGCAATTTTGACAAATGAGAATATTGAAAATCACTAAATAAATTATTGACCTATTTGGAACTGAAAACAATGACGACAAAGAAAGAAATATGGAATATGCACTCACAAAAAAAACCGTTTATTCGTAAATACAACTTTCTGGATTCGTTAACAGGTCGGGTGAGTATCGGTATGAAAAACAACAGGAATGAAATGAATCTATGAACAGGATGAATAGCACTGGTGAAAAATATACAAACTTACATGTGTAACAGGAAATCACTATACAATACTATTTTACACTGGTTTTGAATGAACTATGAGAGCACTACAAGATCAGCAAGAGAATCAGGAGCTTGAAGAGCAGGTCGAGCAGGTAGTGCAGACTTGTGGAGCAAAGCTTAGAGAGAGAAGAATCCTTGGCTGCCTTCAATATTTATGCACTACTTTGGCCTTGACACAAGGACAAGTAAATCTGGAATCTCATTGGTCAAAACTCCCACCTTGTCATGGCTCATGGTCATGGCCACTAAATCTGTCCTTGAAAAGCACATGTGCACCTCCAGCACAAAACGCGGGAAAAATAATATTCAACCCTAAATGGGCCCAGGAACAGAATCTACTACCTTTGCTTATGCTACTGAATGAATTTGGCTGGAAAATATTCAATAACAACAAAGTTATGAGCAGTCAAACATCAAGCATTTCAACAGATAGATAATTCATCTAATTTCATATCATAAGCAAAGGGTTGGAAAATATGGAAGTCTTTAGGGTTGTGATGTTCATGAGAGTTTACTATCAGGAAAAGCTTTGTGAAGTCAGGAATCAATGCATTACTCAGCTCTCGAGCAGTTTCGAGCTTTCGAACAGGTGAAATTCAACTAGCATCAGGCTCAGGTACTTAGATTTTGATCAAAACCAGTCTAGTGATGAAGCTGGTCAAAAACACTTCATTACAAAGTAATTAGCTTCTAGCTATTGAAAGACATCTTTTTTATTTAAGAAATATTATTTATAAAAAATGTTTGTTGAACTTAAATTTGGAAATCAATTGAAGTTAATCAAGTTGTATCTATTGAAAAAATTACATCAGAAAACTGAAAAATGTTAAATTCAAACTAGAAAATTAGGAAAAGTGAGGTGAGGTCTTACTTATGTATTTGAACACCAAGTGACATAAGTCGCCTTGCGTAGGAGCATTTTACGGCGAACAATTTTTATGAGATTTCCGGGTACTTGGAAGATGACCACCGAATTAAGCTGCTACAACTATATGGACATCGACTCTAATGGAGCCTAAATGAAACACTAGGTTAGATCTCAAATCAATTAAAGATGCATACAACTCTCAAAACACCACACAAACCAAAAATCAATGACAAAAACAATATAAGGGTATGGTCCGTAAGCCTACCAAACATCACCAAAGGTACGGTTCACCGGTCCGTAATCTCTGAAAAAACCGAGCGGTCAAATTAACCGTGACATACGGGACGCGATTTTACTAAATATACTGTACGCTAGCACATACCACGCCCACCGTTATATCTCATCTTCAAAGTACTTTACTTAGGCAAAACTCAGTGACTATTTATCCTCAACGAACTAACCTATCCCTGATTGCAATATTTTTGAGGAAGGAAAACCGAATGGAGTGTAGAAACACATTGATTAATAATATATTTCAAAAGTTGAGTTCTTCAACAAAATTGAATAAAATGAGACTGTTCATCGTAAACGCACTAACCTATTTGACTTCAAATATTTTATGAAAAAGGAAAACCAGAATGAAGTAAAAAAACATTGGTAAAAAAAAAGTTGCAAAAAAAAGTTCAAGTTCACAGCGATTCGAACCATGGACCTTCAGACTGAAAGTCGACAGCGCTTACCAGTAGACCATTTGGGTGTATGAATTTACAAGGGTATGAATTTACAGATGATTTGTCCCTCTACAAATATATTGAAATAATACGAATACTTTTATTTTATAGAAACGAGGAGAGAAAATCCCAAAGAACCAAGTAAAATGAATGTACCACCTCCTCGATTAACCTACAGACAGTAATTGATAACTTGTTGTTTTTCAGGATATCAATATGAATGTTTCCTGTACCTGTTTCCACTGTCACCGAGAAATAGGTACAATGAGTGAATTTTTAGGAGGTGCATGTCATGAATGCTTTTCGTAATATGATGAAATAACTTTCGACTATGGAAATAATATTTCAACAGGTGTTTACAAACGATTAGAGAGCCAGAAAGATGTTCCAGTTACTTTTATTTTTTGTGATCTTAGTCGGGCTTTTGACTGTGTCGATCATGCAAAACTACTAGATAAACTATATTCCTACGGTTTGAGGGGCATACCTCTAGATTGGTTAGCATCTTTCTTGAGAAATCGCGAGCAATATGTGAGCATAAAATATAAAAATCAGAATAAATTAGAAAATGCATCATCTTCTAATTCAGAAGTCACTGTAGGTGTCCCACAAGGTTCTATCTTAGGCCCTATACTATTTCTTCTCTACATTAATGAAATTGGTACAATATTTCCTAGGATTCATTTCACATTATATGCTGATGATATATCATTGATTATTTCGAACAAATCCAATAATATCCTACAAAATGAATGTGAATTTATATTAGATTCTTTGATGACATGGTTTTCGTCGAATAAATTATCATTCAATTCAGATAAAACATCTATCGTCAGATTTCAGACAGCTCAACGTCACAGCAGTGAGGATTTCATTATCGAACTGTCTAGTCAACAACTTGTAACCAGCGATACTGTGAAATTTCTGGGTATTGAACTAGACAAGAATTTAAATTTCAAGACACATTGTGAATCACTAACATCTAAACTTAACTCATTCTATTACTTGATATACAATTTGAAGACTATTTTGACTCATGAACAATTGATGAACTTTTACTATGCACAGGTGGAATCTCGTTTGAGATATGGAATTAACTTCTGGGGCAATTCCATACATTCTAAGAACATATTCATTGCACAAAAACGAATTGTAAGGTGCTTAACAGGAAAACCAAGACAACACTCTTGCAGAGATCTTTTCAAAAAACTGAACATATTAACTCTGACTGGATTATTCATTTTTGAGATATGTTTATTTGTCCATAGAAATAGAGAAGTTACACCGACAAATTATGATAGGCACAATTTCAATACGAGACAAAAAAATAACTTGCGGATACCCTTTGCCAGATTGAATATTACCAGTTCATCGCCAAACTTTATTGGGCCAAGATTATTCAACAAATTACCTGAATCAATAAAAAACTGTGAAAAGGAAATAGAATTCAAAAAACAAATTAAAATATTTTTAGTTGGCAAAGTTTTTTATACTGTGAACGAGTTTTTGTGTACGTAATATTCCTATTTGTCATATACACTCATTAGTATGTAAGTTTTCTAGTTTTTTTTTTCTTCTTTTAGTTCGTAAGTTTCATATATTTCTTAGTATCTTTGACTATTCCTATACAATGTATGTTGTCAGTTATGGAAAATAAATGATTTGATTGATTGATTGATTGATTGACTATCACCACCAGTTGTTCTAGTACCAATACTCATTGGACAGACGTTTTTGGTCTAGTTGATAATATGAAATCAGAAGTTCAATGAAATATGTTTTATTTTCTGAAAATGAATATACCAACGCATAATGCAGACGCTGACAGCAAATGTCATTTTTGAATTTCTGCGTGTTTTTTGTCATTTAAATTGACATCGCTGATATGTTGGTCCGTAAATTTACCGATCTCTAACCACAGTGGTACAGCGATATTTCACCTGGTTGGCATAGGTTGCGTGCAAGAACTGTCAGATGACCGACACTGGAGGCAAAACATTGAAACACAACGTCACCTTTCTTATTTGTTTACAAGTGATCGAAATAGTTTTTCACAATTATTTTGGCATACGAATCGTATTTTTCCGCTATTCATCAAATCGCTCATGCCATCACATTATGCTGTTGTGAAATGCAAAAAAACTGCAGCGGAAGACGAAGTAATCCGGTTGGTACAATATGATTTAAAAGTAAGTACCTACTATAGTCACTCACATATAGTTTTCATTTTTGAAATTTGGTAATTTCTCTGATTTCTCATCGGAATTCCTTCTGCGATAGGAGCTAATAGAAATACACCTGAAATTTCTAAAATAATGCCGAAGATTGGATTCATGCAATCAATCGGAAGGACTGGTCTGACATGCTGATGATCGTGTGTGTTTTAGACATTTTCAATCTATTAGCAGTATTAGCTTGTATTGCAGAAGGCAGAAGGAATTTTAATAAGGAATGACAACATTTCATATTGATAACTATGTGAGATAACTATTTAACTGAAAAATCATATTCTTTAGTCTCTTACTGCATTTTTTGTGCATTGTACAACAGCACAATGCGAAGGCATGCTCAAATCAATGAATAGCGCAAAAAACACGATTCCTATGCCAAAATATTGTGAAAAACTATTTCAATCCTCTGATGCCTCTGTAAGCAAATAAAAAAGTGAGGTTGTATTTCAATAATTCACAGAAGAATGAGGTTGTGTTTCAATATTTTGCCTCCAGGGTCGGTCATCGTGCACGCGACCTATACGGACCATACCCTAAGTGTATTCAAATTTAGTAGTGAACAAGTGAATGCTCATGACAGATCCTATATTTTTTTTATATTCGGCTACAACTTGTTATGGGCGAAACTGAACAGCATCAAGTTAGAGCATATAGGGATGTTAGTGATTTCATTGCCAACAAAACGTTTAAAAAAACTGTCTTCGAAATTATTGGGGTGTAATAATTATCGAGAAACAACACAGGGTGGAAAAAGGATGCATTCAGAGCAAACACACACAAAACAAAACGCAGCACGTCATACTTGAAGAAGTTTTTGAGCATCTGCAGTCTGGTGCCGCCTGGAGGGGTGGTAGCAGAGTTTGTCGGAGGGGTAGTTGCCGAATTTGTCGTTGGGGCGCTAGGCCTAGGCGGTGGTAAATTCAACTTCAAGTCGCTGGCCAAAATTCACACATCAATTAGTAAAGAATGGAAAATTATTTTTTGACAGAAATATTCACTACAATTCAAAGTATTCATATTATAAAGTAACAAGAAGAAAATGTATTGGACATGAAATATACAGGGTGTAACATTAGTATGTTGAATTAATTGAATGACATATTCGTGAGACAACTTTAAAAATAATTTTCTTTTTTTTTTAAATGAATTCAGGAAGAAATAATTATTTTGTACAAAATTTGGTAACCGCGATTATTTGGGGTGACAAATCAAAAATTCGTATTAATTTTCATGTAGCGCCTAGAGGACGTTGCATACGCTGCCATTAAAAATTTGAAACAGCCTCAACTTTTTTGACAGTAAACTTCTGGCGCTTTTCATGAAAAATCTTTTTCCCACATTTTTTTTAATTAAAAGAAGTACACTTCATTTCATTTCCAATTTTTTTATCGATGCACGTTACACAGCTCCTAGAGCGCTATATGAAGCTGAGAACATTACAAGTACTGAGTATGTAGTAGATCTCGTCAAAATTATAGTTATTTACACACCAAGGTAGTAGAGATTACCATTATTACCCAGGGTCCTAGATTATATTCTTTACTACCAAGGTGTATAATAATTTTGTTCGTGAAGGGAAAAAAGTTTGACATTTTATCTCTGACAGGTTACAAAATGTCTCTTTTCATAAATTACTTTTTTCCCGGATATACAGGATGATTCAAAAGTAAGCGACATCTTTCAGTTGCGTATTCCTTGCATGAAAATGAGGCAAAAAGTTTTTATTAATAAGTGTACGAAAATGCTTCATAAGGGAGCTACGTCTCTTCGAATAGGACACCTCAAAGACGATTTTTTTCTCTATAACTTTCAAACCCTTCACAATAAATCTTCGAAAATTGATGTACGGCATGAACATCTGATTGTAAATAAGACTCTGAATTCAAAATTGCAAAATTTTGTTCAAGTGCGTCATTTAGACAGAGCGTACCATTTAGGAGAAAATCGACTTTAAAAACTTTCTGATTTGCGTAAATCACAATAACTTGAATATCGAAAGAAGAAGGGATGTTTTTACATTTACCCTTCCCCGCATGTAATGCCCCTAAAAAAATTGAAATTTTGAATTCAGAGTATCCTTTACCATCAAATATTTATGCCGTACACCAATTTCCGAAAATTCATTGTAAAGGATTCCAAAGTTATGGAGAAAAAATCGTCTTTGAGGTGCCCTATTCAAAGGGGCGCAGCTTCCTTAGGAAGCAATTTCGGACCCTTATTAATAGGAACTGTTTGCCTTATTTTCATACAAGGAATACGCCCCTGGAAGGGTGCCGCTTACTTTTGAATCACCCTGTATAGGTGCACTGTTGATGGCTTTTATTGTGCCAGTTCCGAAAAATAAGCCAATAACACCGTCTCCGAGAAAGAACTGAAAGTCTTTTTGTCTTCCATTTCACTTCGAGATTACCTAAAATAACTGAACAACCACGGTTCGCAATTTTTTGAAATCAAAACTCAGAATTAAATTGACACATATTCGATTACTTCAAAAGGGTTACATAGCAATAAAGATGCCTACAAAAAGATGTCTGTGTATACACGGAAAAATATTAGATTTAAGCTCTCGGTTTTTTGTATCCCTCCGCTACGCGTCGGGAGACAACGCAACCTCGAGCCTAATACTTTTTTCCCTTGTATAATAAATAACTATTTCACCACCAGCAATATATTTCATTATAGTTCTGTGAAACTGAAATATGGATCTATTGTCAATATGAAAGCACTCCTTTTCAATTCTAATTAAAATCTAGTAGCCATGACCATGACAGCATATGACAAGTGCTTATTGATTTGAGTGTCATTCCTGCGAATCTCGCATCAGAACAGTGAATTAGGGTTAATTACAACACAGGTGGCTATGTCTTTATTGTTCATAAAATGACGAAAACTACCTTGGTAGTAAAAACACACTTTCCATCTTGAAAAGGAGTAAATAATCGTAGGTTCTATGGCTAGTGAAAAAAAATAGCTATTTATATATCAAGAGAGCAAAGATATATATTTGAAAGCATCATCTCTGATGAATTTATGTGTCAGGCGGTCTATCTCTCGATCCTGCGGTAGGAAGGTTTAGTGTGCCATGGACAATTGACGGTATTTAAATCATTATGACACTTCTGTCATTATGAATTTGTTTATTGTGTTATACCATTTGAAAGAATTGATTGAGTAAGTTTGGAATATGAGAAAGTAAATGAGATCATTTAATTAGAATTCAAAATGGAAATTGTAACCAAGACGAATTACCCAATGAGAATGTCCGTCCAAAGTGTATGACGCGGTGTGACACACCTTGTATTCGTATGAAATGCCATCAATATTTTGCGCGCATACGAGCTATCGTTTGAATTCAGGTTCAATTAAATAATTTTTCTCTGGGTCAACCGCAATCGTAAGAAAATAGAAAAAATGCTGAATTGATCGACGAATGACTCGTTAGCTCAATTGGCAGAGCGTTGGACATGTAACCCAGAGGTTGTGAGTTCGACTCTCACAAAAATTATGACTTGATTCCTAAAATAATATTCGTCAACGAGAAATCAAGAATACCTTCGGAGGGGTTGCTGACTGGTGGGGGGCGGGCTGTTGGGCGGCGGCGGACTCGTCGCCGGCCGAGCTTTGTCGGGCGAGGGTCTCGAAGGGGGGGCGGCAAGCGCGGGGGCGGTCGCCTCTTCGCTGCCCTCCGCTTTGCTCGTTCTGAAACGGATATTCATTTAGATGTAGTGCGATTAAACTAGACCTAAACCGGAACCTGAAAAAAAATGCCTCCTGCGCCAAATTGTTTCGTCTACTGCCCTGCACCCCAGCGAGCGTTGGGTTTGGGTGGGGGAGGGTGGAAAGTTTCATTTCATTTCATTTTTTGATTGTTGATTGATTGGCTTTATTACCCCAAGAAACATTATTGTTTATAATTGGGATATACAGTCTGTCCAAGATAAGGTTGAACAGCATGGGGATCTCGAAAACGGTAAGAGATACGAAATCGGTTAAATGGGGAAAAAGTTGCGCATTCGGAGGCTCATATCAAGAGCCTTCGAAAATTTTGAAAATTATTTTTAGTTTTTGAGTTATATCGAAAAAAGTGAATTTTTGGAATTTCCATTTTATTTTTTTTCTCCGTTATTATTAGAGATACAGCAAAACTGAGAATACTTTTTCATAGCAACTTTTGATGACGGTCAACGTGGTGATACCGATTTTTTCATGCGACGTTTCGTATTCGTGGAACCATCATCAACTTTTGTTTTTTAAATACGGTCCTGATAATTTTTTCACAGATTCTAAAAGGTTTTTTTATTCTGAATTCAACCATGTATTATACAAGGTGGTTCATTTATGTTTCGACCTATTTCCATGCATCATCAATGTTTTTTCGAAACTCCAAAGGAAAAATGCCATCAGTTCCACTTATTATGAAGGAAAATTAGTCAACACACTAATACCACACTAATACCTCATCAACTGGTTTCAATCAACAACCCATTTCATTTTGCGGAAACAAAAATTCCATCCATACAAATTCAGAATATGTCAAGCGCTAAAACCAGGCGATGACGAAAGGCGCAAGACATTCTGTGAGTGGTATACCAGGAAATGTTAAAATTTTGCAGATTTCTTTCGAACAATCATCTGGACTGATGAAAGCATGGTCACTAATCATGGTAGCTTCGATAGAAAAAATACACATTATTGTTCACAAGAAAACGAACATTTATACATTATAGCGAGACACCAACACCGTTTCGGCTTTAATATGTGGGTTGCAATATTTGGTACACGAATTATTGTTCCTTCTATTTACCATGAAACACAGACTTCCGAACGTTATAGAAATTCGCTTGAGAATCATCTTGAGGAAGCTCTGGATGATTTACCGATTGCGGAAGTTCAGAACTGTTGGTTTCAACAAGATGGCGCTCCGGTACATAATTCCAGAGAAGTCCGTGCGTGTTTATCCCTTGGCCGGCGCGGTCGCCTGATTTGACACAGCTGGATTTTTTCTTAGGAGATATATCGAACTTTGTACACGCAAATAACTTTGATGATGAAGAAGAACTAAGGGACAGTGTCTTCGAAGCATTCAATAGAATATCCCCAGAAATGCTTAGCAATGTCTTAGAAGCAACTGTGAGAAGAGGATATATTTGTTCAGAAAATAATGGTTATCATTTTGAACATTTGTTATGAATGTCTCTGTAGGTATTGTCAAAGTTAAGTTGTTAAAGTAATTCGTGTAAGAATTCATCAACAATTTTAAACGCTGCATTGATCGAATGATGTAGTGAAATATTTTTTATTCACTTTTCAGTATTGAATAACTAATCCATCAAGTTTGACACTAAATGATCAGAAATAAGTGGAACTGATGGCTTTTTTCTTTTGGAAGTTCGAAAAAACATTGATGATGGATAGAAATAGGTCGAAACACATTCGAATCACCTTGTATAGTACATTGTTGAATTCAAAATAAAAAAACCTTTCAGAATCTGTGAAAAAATTATCAGGACCGTATTTAAAAAACAAAAGTTGATGATGGTTCCACGAATACGAAACGTCGCATAAAAAAATCGGTATCACCACGTTGAACCTCATCAAAAGTTGCAATGAAAAAGTATTTTCAGTTTTTCTGTATCTCTGATAATAACGGAGAAAAAAAATAAAATAGAAATTCCAAAAATTCACTTTTTTCGATATAACACAAAAACTAAAAATAATTTTCAAAATTTGCGCAACTTTTTCCCCATTTAAGCGACTTCGTATCTCCTACCGTTTCCGAGATCCCCATGCTGTTCAACCTTATCTTGCACATACTGTATACAACAATAAATTTAATAGGAAACTATGCCATAAATATGCAGATGACACAGTACTTTTATTTGAAAACAAAAACCCTGTAATTTTAGGGAACATAAATGAGGATTTGAAAAAAATGGAAGAATGGCTATACTCCAATCTTCTTTCCCTTAACTCTAATAAGACCAAATTATAATTTTCCATCAAAGAAATAAACAAAATATTGATTTGAATATTAGAATAAAAAATGAAATATTGAAACAAGAATAATTTCAACAAAATATCTGTACTATATAAAAAAGCATTAAAAGTACTGTATCGTCTTCCATATGACACCCCATCAAATCAACTTTATGAAGAAACAAATACTTTTTCTTTGGAAGAGCACTATCTGATAAATACTCTCAAAATTTATTTTGATATTATCAACAAACACCTCAAATCCAACTTCATATTGGTAAGGAATTCTCAAATCCATGAACAACATATGACAATATGACTTGTTTCATCTTGATGCTGCTAATTCTACACTTGGTCAAAAAAAGTTCACTCACGGAGCTATCTCAAAATTCAATAAATTACCTGATGATATCAAAAGTTGCACAAATATCACCCAATTCAAAATTAAAGTCAATAAACATATCCTCTTGCAAAGAGAAAATCAAACCTGAGTGACTGATTTCTCATTCACTAATTTGTTTCATCATGTCATAATGTACTTTTCATGAGCTTTTTTTTATCATTATTATTTTTTTGATTCTGTTGTTTATTTCAACTATGATTTAATTTGATAACGCATGAATAATCTCATACCAGATATGAATCTGTCTGATTATTCATGTTATTCCATTGTAAATGTTAATGATTATATTTATATAAGATGCAATGTAATGTTTATAGCAAAGAATGAAATAAATTGAATTAAATTAAAAAAAATTGAATACTGTCTGTAGGTAAGTGAAAATTTGATATTTTTTCTATATACCTTTATTTCTCTTCTCCAAAAATTTTTCAATACAAATTGTCACTGACAAGCTAGTGAATTTTTCTTTTAGGCTCTCTGATAGGAAAATTCTTTAAACGCAGTGACATTTTGGGGCAAATCATCTGATTTGTCCTTACTACACGTATATTGAAATAATATTCATATTTTTATTTTATAGAAACAAGGAGAGAAAATCCCAAAAAGTTTGGAATAATAAAAAAAATTAATTAATACATACATATAACATAATAAATCGAAACAATAATAATTGCACAATTATTGTTTTTCATAAAAAAAAAAAATTATAATAAAATATGAAATGAAAATATCATTATCCATTACAAGTAATCAAATTGTGAATGATTAGTAGATATGGAATTAAAGTTTACTGAGCAGATATTTCTTTTATTTGATTTTACATTTTTCTGCTTCTTCTACATTTTTCAACTCATTAGGTAAGGAGTTATATAAAATTATTTCCTCATGGAATATCGATTGTTTACCAAAATTTGACTTATAATTATTTGCTATCAATAAATTAAATTGTCTTGTTTCATGGGCGTGAGTCGTATTAACTTCACTAAAATTCAAATTTGATATTTTAAATTCATTCCTGACAAAATCAATAAAACAACAAATTTTGAATTTAGATAATGAAACTATGAGGTAGATTGATAGATAGATAGATAGACACTTTATTCGTTGTCCATTCAAAATATTTACACCTGGAATATCAAACAAAACAAATAAATAAATAAATAAATAAATGAGTGGTCTATGGAGACATATATAGGAATCCAAAATGAAGTATTATAATTCAAATAAAAAATTCGTCTAGCAAATAACAGCATTTTTCAATTAACAATTTCATCAATCTTTTTTCTTAAATGTTCACATTGGGTGCGGATTTGATTTCATTATTCAGCTCATTATATTATACAAATAATTTGCACCCGATGTGGATCATAATTAATAGTGGTTCCTATCACAGAATGGATCATAAAGGCATTAGAATCGAAGAAGTCAAAGAAGTGTAAACAAAACACCTGCCCTGCTAGCTGAGCAACTGCGCATACTAGCCACGAGTGGACATGCTGAAAAGTGCTGACTGAACTTACTGTTTTCCGTAATGGTTTAACTGTGGCATAAATATGGGATATGTGTATAAACATGTATAACTGACAATGTTGCCGAAAATGTGCGCATGATCAACAATGCCTTAGGCACTCTGGTGGTATCGAATTTCAGCGATTTTCAGACTTTCATAAGCCTTCTGGGTCTTTGAGTTCTGTGCCATCACAGGCAAGAATTGCCGTCATTTATACGCCTCTAAGACGTCGTTTTTGACCTCTTTGTCAGTTAAATTATCCACTAGGACTGCGTCACTTTTCAGTTGTAGTTGGATATTATATTCAAATGATATTACTTACACTTTATCACTTTGTAAACTAGGTTTCCTCCTTATAGTAACATCATTGTCTTCATTCACATCCGGAGGTTTTGTGAAATCTATAAAAGAAAAATCAAACTACTAATATCACACGTGAAAATTGAAATGAAAAGAATAATGGCGGCCTTGAGAAGATCAGAGTAGAGTTTTTACTCTGGTAATTACTCACTTGTACTATCAGAAATACTTTTTGTAGGGCTGCTCAAGTCCGAGTTTTCCTTGGATTTCCTCCAATCTTCCAAATCGTCGACAATTTTCTGAGATATTATCGGAGTTGTGTTATTTTTTTCTACAATCGGACTGTTAAGCTTATTCTGCGTTTCTGCAAGAAAACATATCTTTCAGAAACCAAACCGAAACTGACGGGAATTTGAGATTCAACACTTTATGCACTTCCAATGAAAACCATTATGAGTGACCGCCATGTATAACGAACGGGGGTGTTTCTGAAAAAATGGCTCACTGTGATTTTCTATTGGAATGAGTAAAAACATACCGAGTATTCCATTTGAAATAAATAAGTAAGGATCATTTACTATACCAACACACCAACTTTCATTTGTTTATCTCCAGAAACAAAACAGATATAGGGCGGAGCCACTTTTGAGAAACACCCGGTATAATAGGAATTTGTAGAAAAGACACATTGATATCAGGAAGAGTTTGAACTTCAAACTCTACGAAAGTGTAATGGTGGATTTATGCAACATTTGCGTAGTCCTAATCATAGTCTTAGTAATAATTTTAAGCATAACTAGAAGTTGAAACAAGGGTACTTGCTTGAGGCCGTTTACACACCAATTTTAGTCTCAAGCATAAGCACAAGCCTAAGAAACGACCTTGAAAGTTGATTAATTTGAATTTTTATGCTTATGCTTATGTTATGTGGATTCGGCGCATGCTCCTTTGATAGAATTGTTGATGATTTGTTGTTAACATGTTCCGAAAATGATATTACGAGATAGGTCAGATGCTGATAAGTTTGATAGATAATTTTTCTCATCTCTGATACAAAAAGAACCACACATTCTCACATGACTCTTATGCTTGAATCGAGTTTTGATGTTTCTGGATAAATACCTCAAATCTTTAAGACAAAAATTAATACTAAGACTATGCTTAGACACAGATTAGAACTAAGACTAGGACTATAAATCCGCCATAATTCAAGCAGTTGCTGGCTCCGGGGCCATGAAAGAAGAATCTGAATATATTGAAATGATGGAGGAAAAAGATACAAAAAAAATTGTTGTTGCAAAAAGAATTATTCAATAAAAAAAGATGATTACGTTCACATTTCGAGACCCTTTATCTTAGACAGGAGTTAAGGTCAAGGGGTATTCAGAATATAGATATACAAACTGAAATAACTTATAACAACACAGTATGACGATTGAACATTCAAGTACATCAAAATTGTTCATGACATACAGGGTGGGGCATAGAAACCAAGTGTTTTTGGTTTAGGAAAAGGCGGGGCGCGCGGTTTATTACATTCCTGGACTCCTTCTCATTTGCCACTTGCCATCTTGGAGAGGTGGAGGTTAGAGCAACGCGTGTTCGTTATTGTTATTTCACAAACAGTTGATTCCTATGCCCCACCCTGTAAAATAACTTACTTACAATCTTCTATTGCACCTCTCACAAGCTTTGGTTAGGAAAAGAGCAAGTTTTTCTTCCACTTGTTTCTCAGTGAACTCTTTGGTCATTGTGTTTTTCTTGCATACTTCTAAAAGAAGGGACATAGGAATCAAGTGTTTGTGAAATAACAATAACGAACACGCGTTTCTCTAGCGTCCAGCGCTCCATGATGGCAAGTGAAAACTGAGAAAGTGAAATGCTTCGAGTCGAGGAATGGATTGTAATAAACCTCGGGCCCCGCCCTTTCCTAATGGCCGAAAACTACCCAAACCAAAACCACTTGGTTCCTATGCCCCACCCTGTATAAGAGTAAGGGTTTAGTTAATTCAACGTAATTGTCATTTCAAAAGGTCAGGGGATCAGGGACAGACCATCTCCATGCACCTTCAAATATTTTTGAACAATATAAGAAGATATACACGGTGATGACAGGATGAAATTATTATAAAATTTTTACCAGTGGATATTGTGTGGCAACTTCATTATTTCAAATGGAACACCCTGTAGAATAATTCATTTTCCAAATCTGATTTTCCTGATTATAAAGCCGTTTCTGATTTGCTAATTTATTCCGGAAATTATGGAGCAAAAATATCCCCAAATAGATATCATAATTTTCATAATACCTCTGTCAGAAAATCAGCTTTGGGTGACTAAATGGTCAAACTAAAGAGCTCTTTTCAAATATGACAAGCAAGGTATTCTATTTGAAACAATCATCCATGACGTCATATACTCATCCAACTTTAAAAAATTGCTAATTTGAAGAAGCAGCATTCTTTTAAATGAATTTGTGTAAAATTCTTCAGAAAGATTGGATAATCTTTTTCTAACCTGAAAAAATGACAAATACGTCGAAATCAGGGCACTTTAGTTAGGTCATTGGCCAATAATTGGATAATTCACAATGTTAATCACTAAAAATTAAACATCAATGACATATAATTTACCGTCATCATCCGAGCTGTCTGATTCCGTTTCAGAGCTGCTTTCTGATTCCGATTCTGACTCACTTTTGTGAGTCACCTCCATATCTTTAATGCAGCAGGAATTCAAATGAAATAAATTTAATGCAATATTTTTTACAAAATTTCAATTCAAACCACATGCACGGAATTCTCCGATTTGTTGTGAACATTTGACAACGTCGCACAATGGATATTCAAGTGCAAACCAACATAAATAACAACTTCTAACAATAAAGAAAAAGAGAGGAAATGGAGCAGGAAATGGTAAATAGGGGGAAAACGGAGACAAGGATGGAAGAAGGAGGATGAGGGAAATGGAATAGCAGGTAGGGGAATGGGCGAGTTCAAGTTTTTTGAAAAAATAAAAAAATCTGACTAGATGAAATCATGATTTTTGTTGTTTGTATTGATTTTTTCGATTTTTTCCTCAAATATGGAAAATATTCACTTTAAAATCACTCATTCTTAATATTTTTCCCTATTCGCCCAAACATATTTGTTGTCTATAATCACAGATAGAAAATCTTCTCAGCGGCATACAAAAAACTTGTTGAAATAAAAATTTTCGGCAGCGTGCCGCGATTTTTCTATCGGAACAAGAAAATTCGTTTCAACATCTACATAATATATGCAAACACTTAATTTCAAATGAGCTATCTTCCTTTTTCTTCATTTTCCTGATGAGTTATGTGCTTTGGCATTAACATAAAACACTATTTGAAGCGCTGCATTGAATAATTTAGTGTGATATTTTTTTTACATTTCAGTATTAAATGACTACATCAATGATTGTTTTTCCTCTTTGAAATTTGGAAAAAACATTGATGATGGCTAAAACTGGACCAAAACACATTCAAACCACCTTGTATATTACATAGTTGAGTTCAGAATAAAAAAAGCTTTCAGAATCTGTTCACACAATATCAAGACTATTAAAAAATGTAGTTGATGATGGTTCTACGAATATGAAACCTCGCATAGAGAAATCAATATCACCATGTTGAATCTCTCAAAAATTGTTAGGAAAAAGTATTCTCATATTCCCTTTTTTTGATGTAACTGAAAAACTAAACACAATTTTGAAAATTTTCGAAGGTTGGTATGACCCTCGGAACTTCTTCCCCATGCTGTGCAATCATCTGTTGGTCACACTGTATGAAATATGGATGCTTTCAAGATTTCTCAAGCGATATTATTACTCTTGAAATTTTTCAAATTCTACAAATAGACAAATGAAAAAATATGTTATTTGCCTTAGTGGAGTCTTACTCTGGTTGAATAAAACGACACTGCTGGCTAACAGATACCCTGTATAATATAGTGGAGAAAATTTTGATTATCAAAGCAGGATATTGAAAATTCAGATGAACAACAAAATGATCAACAACTCACCGGTATTTTCACTAATTTTTGGTTCTTTCTCACTGGCCCGTTCTACTTTCTTCACCTTGTTCGGCGTCTCGGACTCCAAATTCCTATCTCCCACGTCAGGCCTCTTTTTCGCCATCCTCCTGTTGAACACCTCCTCTTTGTTCTGTTTCTTTTTCAGCTCCTCCAGATACGAGAGCATGTCGTTGTCGCACAAATCGAAGGCAGTTTGACCCTACGAAAAATGAATAGTGGTTTAAAAAACTAAAGAAACGCCCTTTTATAGATGGCCAAACTAAAAAGAAGTAGAAAAAAAAAATAATGAAAGTGTGTTGATAAATACACAACATAGAAAATATAAGCAACTCCGTAATCAGTATATTTTATGTTAGATATTTATCAACACAATTTTATTATTTTATTTTCTATCTCTTTTTAGTTTGGCTATCTATAAAAGGGTGTTTCTTTAGTTTTCTAAACTACTATTTATTTTCTATTTTTTAGTTCGGCTAACTACAAAAGCGTGTTTTTCAGTGTTTTCATATAATTTGAAATTTTGACGAAAGAATCATAATCTCCGACCCCAAAAACCCTCAGATACTAATTTTGAATAGAATCGAATCATGATTACAAAACTCGTCAGCCATATTGAACTTTCCAATTTTGACAAAAGCATCATAATTTCCGACCCCGAAAACCAATTTCGAGTAGAATCTGATCATAATTACAAAACTCGTCCGCCATATTAGATCCACCATTTTGAATTTTCAAATTTGTACGAAATAATCATAATCTCCGATCCCGAAAATCAACAGGTAAAAGTTTTGAATAGAATCGAATTATAATTACAAAACTCGTCCGCCATTCTGAAGACGCCATCTTGAATTTTCCAATTTAACCGAAAAAATAATAATCTCCAACGCCTCTAAAACCCTCAGAGACCATTTTTCAATAGAATATGATAATAATTACAAAACTCGTCCGCCATATTAGATCAGCCATCTTGAATTTTCAAATTTGGATGAGAGAATCATAATCTCCGACCCCGAAAACCACCAGATACAAATTTTGAATAGAATCGTATCATAATTACGAAACTCGTCCGCCATTTTGGAGCCGCCAAGTTAAATTTTCCAATTTTTAACAAAATCATAATCTCCAAGCCCTAAAACCCCCAGATACAAATTTTGAATAGATTCGGATCATAATTACAAAACTGGTTCCCCATATTGGATCCGCCATCTTGAATTTCTCAATTTCGACGAAAGAATCGGATCACAATTAGAAATCTCGTCCTCCATATTGGATCCGACATTTTGAATTTCTCAATTTTGATGAAAGAATTATAATCTCCGGCCTCGAAAACCTCCAGATACCGACTTTGAATAGATTCGGATCATAATTACAAAACTCGTCAGTTATATTGGATCCACCATCTTGAATTTCTCAATTTTGACGGAAGAATCATAATCTCCAACCCGAACCCCCCCCCCAGTTACCAATTTTGAATAGAATCGAATCAAAATTACAAAATTTGACCGCCATTGTGTTTTTTTTCTAACAAGAATTATGTAAAGCTGCCAAATTTCGAAGCAATCAAATGATTAGAATATTTAACATGCAAGATTTGACGTGCCCCAAATCGAAAATTGCCGAATTCGCCATTGAAACCTATCTAATAATTCTAATATGAAGCAAAATTTTATGATAATTCCGAATCTATACATACGTAAAATGACGAGTGACATGAAGTTTCCAAATCTGTGCATATGTAAAATGACATGAGGATTCCGAATATACAGGGTGTTCCTTAATGATATGCCAATATTCAAGGGGCCAATTCTTCGACCCATTTCAAGAATAAAACTTCATATAAACATATGTCGTAAACGTCCTAACTTTTGAGATACAGGGTGTCAATATTGAAAATATGCATAGATTATTTTTTTGTCCACCCTGTATAGCTTTTCGTGATGGCAAAATTCAGTATGCTATGTGACTGAATCGTTATACAAAAGTATGGTCTCGTTTTTCCGTTTTTTCTCGAAAACGAAGCGTTCTATCGAGTATCAACAAGAGGATCGTTTTTGTACATGATTAAATAGCCTTTTATAGTATTGCATGAAATTTGAAAATTTTTCTTCGTTGCTCACTTTTAAGTAAGATATAAACAATAATTTTCCCGTAACGGTGCCACTGGTAGAGAAAATGAAAATCTTCGTACATCAGAAAATGCACCTTGATGCATAAAATACGTTTACCAAATTTCATACAGATGTATATAATATTGTCTTAGTTATCATCAAAAATCTCAGGATTTCTGTCTTATTTCTCAATTGCTCTGGAGTACGTCAACTTCAAGAAAACTCCACTACTACTTTCACAACCACCCTGTATAATTCAGGTATTTGCATAAAATATTGTCATCACGAATTATCGACTTCCTCACAAAGTTTTACGGGATTCCAATCATTCGATGGGTATGGATATCAGGACGGGTGCGGTTTCATGGAAACTTGAACATCTTGTGTATAATATGTGATCTGATACAAGAAATGCAATTATCATGAATCGATGTTGATATTAGTATACTACGAAATATCCAAAAACGAATTGATTTCAACCGCTCACTTTTTCGGAAATAATTGGAACATTTGCTATTTTTAGACCATCTCTGTATATCGTGAGTACGTGCAGATATCATTGAATTCTATAGTGGATTTCCACCGGCCACATGGACAAACAAAACGTAGTCGATTTGATTTTGGTATCCAAAAAGTAAACTTCACAATGGCCATTCGAAATTTTGAAAAAGTCAACTTCAGCACCCTGTATAATCCAAACTATTGAATTCAGAGCGTTGATAATTGGGATATCTGATCAGCATCGCGACCGAAAGCCAATTTCCCCCCTATTGCGGTGCTGGGTCCTTTGATGAATAAACTAATAGCCCAAAATCTGTATTAAGGCAGATATATCCTTCCAAAGTTGATTAAATTTATTAAATTGAAATTTCCTGCATAAATGTGTGTTGATGAAATGCAGTTTTCTGATACACTTCTATATTTCGCCTATAGTTATAAAAGGTATTTTCAGAGGGTGGGTCATGATTTTTTAAAGAAAAGATCGAAAATTGCAGATTGCAGAAGCTCCTGAGGAATTTAAAAATTGTCAAATTCATGCTTAGAAAGGAGCCGTTAATTACTCACCACGTAATTCTTCGATTCCATGTCGGCCAAGTTTTCGACCAGCACTTCGCAGACCTCCTTCTGGCCCCAGTGCGCAGCCGCGTGCAACGGACTCCATCCGTCGACGTCTTGCGCGTCAATGTCAGCTCCGCACTGCAGAAGTATTCTGGAAGAATGAGCAGCATGTACAGGGTGCGCCTCTTAAAATGGAACCCCTCCTCAACTCTTTTGTTTTCAGAGATATGAAAAAATGTTGAATTGAAAAGTTGCTTGAAACGACCCAGACTTTCATTTCGTGAAGTTGCCTAATATACAGGGTCATTCGTTTCTCCGGAAAGGACATGACTATGAATATTTCAATGGAACACCCTATATATTTTCTGACATTTCGATAGAGCCTTTTTTTCTGATTCCAAAAATATATATGAGTCGCATATTTGGATGAAAAATATTTGAGTTATTGATTATCAAAGTTAACCAAAATACCGAATCTTCCAATAGGTCGCGTGCACGATGACCGACCCTGGAGGCAAAATATTGAAACACAACCTCACTCTTCTGTGAATTATTGAAACACAACCTCACTTTTTTATTTGTTCACAGAGGAATCAAAAGGTTGAAATAGTTTTTCACAATATTTTGGCATAAGAATCGTGTTTCTTGCGTTATTCATTAATTCAAGCATGCCTTCGCATTGTGCTGTTGTACAATGCACAAAAAATGCAGCAAAAGACTAGGGAATATGATTTTTCAGGTAAATAGTAATCTCACATAGTTATCATTATGAAATGTTGTCATTCCTTATTAAAATTCCTTCTGCCTTCTGCCACTTCTGCAATACAAGCTAATACTGCTAATAGATTGAAATACAACACACACGATCGTCAGCATGTCAGACCAGTCCTCCCGATTGATTGACATGAATCCAATCTTCTTGCATTATTCTAGAAATTTCAGGTATATTTCTATTATCTCCTATTGCAGAAGGAATTCCGATGAGGAATCAGAGAAATAACCAAATTTCAAAAATGAAAACTATATGTGAGTGACTATAGTAGGTACTTACTTTTAAATCATAATTTACCATCCGGATTCCTTCATCTTCCGCTGCAGTTTTTGTGCATTTTACAACAGCACAATGTGATGGCATGAGCGAATTGATGAATAGCGGAAAAATACGATTCATATGCCAAAATAATTGTGGAAAACTATTTCGATCACTTGTGAACAAATAAGAAAAGTGACGTTGTGTTTCAATGTTTTGCCTCCAGCGTCGGTCATCTGACAGTTCTTGCACGCAACCCATGAAAATGTCTATTCATATTTTTTTGTATGGAGATTGAACTATTCCAATACCATAATAAACAATACTATGACGTTTCCTTGGAGCTTGAACAATATATAAACGTTATTTCAGAGCCCACTATATTCAACTTACATTAGATGATATGAAGTGAAGGTTGATAATGCGGGATTTTGGTAAATTTTGATCATCAATAACTCAACTATTTCTCATCCAAATATGCAACTCATATATATTTTTGGAATCAGAAAGGAAGGCTCTATCGACATGTTGTAAATTAAATAGGGCGTTCCATGGAAAAAATCAAAGTTGATGTCCTTTCTAGAAAAACGAATGACCCTGTATATGAAACAACTTCACGAAATAAAAGTTTGGGTCGTTTGACACAACTTTTTCATATCTCTGAAAACGAAAGAGTTAAGGGAGGATTCCATTTTAAGAGGCGCACCCTGTACAGGGTGTATCTAAATAACATCGAAAAAATTCAAGGCGTGATTCCTTGTGATATTTTATAAAATAAAGTTCATACAAACATGTGTCCTAACTTGCTTCGTTTTCGAGATACAGGGTATCAATATTTCCATGAAAAATAGTTTTTTCATTTATGGAGCTTCTTCTGGTGCAATTAGATTCGAAATAATATTTCCAGTGGTGTCACAGTGGGTAAATTTATCGATATTTATGGTGAATGTCATTGTACGCCACCGGTTTTTCCCCTTGAAATTTTTCGGTGTTTTTCAGATACACCCTGTATATCGTGGGTCATATCACGTAATGACGTCTCATAAAAATCGGAATTTGAGATACTTCTTCTAGTGACTTATATTCTTGTACTCACAAAGTGGCGTAGCTCGAATTATTGGACTTCCAGATCTCACAAAATGACCTAACTATAGGAGTTACGTGAGATATATTTTCATTATTTGTTGAAAATTTCAACAGTGACGCATCTCACATCGGGTTTGCCGAGGAAATTAAAATATCTCGGGTGACGTCTCAAGGTACTGAAAGGGACCATTCTGGTATATAAAATGTTCAAGGAAAACCAATAGTATGCGCTCTCAGCACGGGGCCCTTCATTTATTAAGAACCCGTTTTCTCATTAAGGTTTGAATTCTTGGCTATGGGCATTGACAACAATTCAAGAAACAGTAGCATCAAAAATTTTTAAACTGCAAGTATTTCAAGCACAAACTAGGTAATTCTTTCACTTCAAATATGTGTGAACATTGAAAACAGCATGTCTGAATTCAAAGATGTTGAGCAAGGTGTTCCTCAAGGGTCCATTTTAGGACCTCTAATATTCCTGTTATATGTGAATGACCTCCCTTTACATACAAACGCTGATTATACCATACTGTATGCTGATGACACCACTCTGGCAGCAGATGCTGAATCATCCACCGAACTTGTCCATAAGCTTAATCTATTCGCTGGAAAATTCAATATGTGGTGCAGAAAAAACTCTCTGATAGTAAACTCTACTAAGACTGTGGTCATGCAGTTCTCTTCAAGGAACAAATTAACAAATAACTTCACTGTGAAAGTAGAAAGAGAGGATATCCCTCCATCCGTTGTAACGAAATTTCTAGGTGTAATGCTTGACAGTAATGTAAGTTGGGCCTCAAACATCGACTTTGTTTGTACAAAAATAAACTGTGCATACTATGCTATACTACAACTCAAGACTGTATTCAATATCAAACAACTTCTCCTAGTCTACTATTCACTTGTATACTCCCATCTATCATATAATATTGTTCTGTGGGGTAAAGTACCAAATGTGAAAAGGGTTTTTATTGCACAGAAACGAATTATCAGATTGATTTTCAATATAAATTTCAAGCAAACCTGTAGGGAACATTTTAAACAGCATGAAATATTAACATTGCCGTCGATATATATCTACAAATGCATTTTATATGCAAAAAGCAATTCATCGGAATTCTCTAAAAACCATGACTTCCATAATTACTCTACAAGATATGGTGATAAATTCTGTGTCCCCAAACACTCAACATCTCTCTATCAGCTCAGTCCACACTATAATGGAATAAGTTTTTTCAATCATCTCCCATCATCCTTAAAGGAAATCAAAGATCATAATCTTTTTAAAAGATGTCTCAAAAAATTTTTAGTAGAGAAGTGTGTGTATGACATATTTACTGATTTTATGTGCTAATGTGTTTTTTGTAATAATTATACTAGCAGTTTTATATATATATATATTTCTCGTTTTACCCCTGACATGTCTAATATCAACTATATGTATGATCAAGAAAGATGAATAAATTTATTATTATTATTATTATTATTTGTTTTTGTATTGTAGACCTTTCAATTAGGCTGATGATGGTCTTTTATAAGACCGAAACATGTCCCTGATGATTGAGTAACAACATTAAAAATTTTGTGGAGATGACTTTGACCATTCCTTCCTTCCTGTGAAATAGTTCACTCCACTTTAAGCAATATGGACTTCTACCAAAGATTACCCTGTATAGTTCACCTACTTCATCACGTCCATGTATCCCTTGGCGGCGGCCACGTGCAGCGGCGTCGCCCCGTTCTTAGGGTGCGGCAGGTTCACCGAGGGGCTGTTCGAGGCGAGCCACCCCTTCGCGTCGCGCAGCATTATCATCTCCTCCTCGTTCCTCGCCGCCTCGCAATCTATGCCTAGAAGAAAAATCCATGGATAAACTACTGTCTCTAGATGCCCAAGGAACATATTATTCTGATATTCACATGATCAACAATTCAGTAAATCAAATACAAGAATGGTGCTGTGGAAATCTTTTGAAAATCAATGGTAAAAAAACTAAATTCATGCTCATTGCTAATCAAATAAATTATAATAAATTTCTTGAGGAGAAAATGGAGATAAAAATTGGTGAAGAAATAATCGAGCGGGTAGAAAAAATCAAATACCTTGGTATTATGGTTGATTATCGACTAACTTTCAAAGAACATGCAGATTTTCTAATAAAAACAATTTCTTTCAAAGTAAACTTTCTTTATAGATGTTCAAGATATCTCAATCAATGGACCAAAAGGATTATATACAACACTATCATACTTCCCCACTTCACTTACTGCTCAACTATTTTGTATTTACTAAACCAAAATCAAATATATAGATTTCAAAAACTACAGAACCGATCAATGCGCATAATCCTTTCATGCAATAGACACACTCCTATTACGACAATGTTGAACAGACTAGAATGGTTGCCAGTTAAAGATTTTTTATTGTACCAGGCACTCATTTTTGTATACAAAATAAGCAATGGCATTGTACCGGACTACCTGAGAGATAAAGTGAACTATAATTTCGAATATCACCACTATGAAACGAGATCTAGAAGAGATTTCCACATTCCCCAGTTCCAAAAAAGATTCATGCAAAACTCGATATTTTTCAAAGGCTCAAGAGCATTCAACGAATTGCCAACTGCAATAAAAAGTGCACACTCTCTCAATTGTTTTAAAATCACTCTGAAAAAACATTTGTTGGAGGGAAGTAATCGCTAATGTGAATGATTGACTTTATTTTATTTTTATTGTACAGTATGTATGTAGTAATGTTGTTTGACATATTTATGTGTTTTATGTACAATGTATTAGTTTTTATGACTAAATAAACGGATATATATAGATGCGAACTCTGTGTCCTCACTACAGAAGATACAAAATAGAGGTATGCGTTTGATATTGAAATGTAATAGATATACACCAACAAAAACGATACTTGAAGTTCTAAATTGGCTAACTGTAAACGATCGCTTGTTTTATTTCTCAATGATACTTATTTTCAAAATAATTTCTGGTAATGCTCCCTTGTACTTTGATCAATTCATCATATTCCAGCATCAAATTCATAATTATCCTACCAGAGGTAATAATAACCTGTATGTACCACGCCTTAATTACACTAGAGTCCCTATATGTATAATTCCCTGTATATATTTGTCAGTTTTGTTGTAATAAGAGTACGGACACTATGACAAGCAGTGACGGAAGGCATAACCCCAAATTCTCAAAATGACTTTTGAACAAAGACATGGATATGCTGAGCTTTTCCATGCACTTCGGATCTTCTATCCTCTACTGCCGCGGTGAAGGGTACATCCATATATCTTTCTCTGTCTTTATTTTCATGAAGAAGTGGCGTCTCATCTCACTGGCGAAAAGGGGTCATAGTTTGTGAATCAATTTGTTGAAAGTATTTCTCGATATACTTAACAAAGGGTATATGTACTTGTTGGTTAGAATGGGGGAAATGGAATAAATGAAAGGACTCGCTTCCATTTTTGCAATTCTCCACTACACAATTAGACATTTTAATTTTTGAAAACCTGAATTTTCAAATAATTTAATGTCATGTACGTTCATGAACTGTCAGTGCCCGCCAAATTGTTCATGTCATTTCAAATTTTTTAGGGTTATGCCTTCTGTCACTGCTTGTCATAGTGTCCGTACTCTTATTACAGCAAAAGTGTCAAATACATACAGGGACTCTAAATTACACTAGTTCAATGAACTCTTTATTCCATAAAGGACTACTAGAGTACAATGGCCTCCCAGATGATATAAAACAAAATGAATCTCTTAGAACATTTAAGAAATCCCTTGTTAGATATTTGAAAATGAGATATCAATAAACCTCAGAGTTTTTTTTTGTAGTCGATAGTATCGACAATAGTTAAATAACATACTTATAATTTTTTCTTTTTCTTTATATACAATATTCTCCATTTCACTATTGATTGTTTGGATTCTTTAATATTCAATATGAACTTCATCTGTGTAATATACTTATATTTTAGACTTTACAATTTATAAACTTTAATGAATGTAGTTTGTATATTAGGATGCCCTATTTGAATAAATGGTTATTATTATTATTATATTCTCTTGTTCCACGTTCGCCTGCGCCTCTGGTGTTTGGCAATGAAGGGAGACTGCCGGTTTCTCGAATAGCATAGAGTATGTCAGGGGCAGCTGCAACAAAACTAAGAAGTTCCAATTTTTGAACTCAAGAGCTACATCATAATATCATCTTTTCAGATTTGCCTTTGGAGTTTCTCCTTCTCCAGAAAGGAAAAAATGAAGGTGTACATTCTGGGCAACGCAGATATTCATCTTTAATGAATAGATTCGTCCTAACATTGTACTTTTATTCACTTTTTATTCGCCTTTCATTCACCTTCTAATAGTGAAATGTTTATGGAAGAGTAGGTACTCTTAAAAATTAGGCTTAAAATAGACCTTAGGTACTCGATACCATTCAAGAACCTCTTTTCAAATTTTTTCAATTGTTTTTCTATTTCTTCTGATAGTGCTGAGACACTGAGCTTCGCTCACCCTGTACAATGAATTGTGGCATCTGAATGAGAACATATAATTTCAATTTTGTATTCATTTGCCTTCCTAATCCTGTGAGAATAAAAATGGAATTCCACTCTAGTCAACAAAAAAATCAATAATTATTCTCAAATAATAATTGATTGCAACATTATCCTTTTTCCTAAATGAATATTTATATTTAATCACGTATACTCTTAAATAAAAGCAAAAAACGAGAAGATATTTCAAATAATGCGAGCGCTTCCCATTAGCCAACATAAGATAGAGAGAGATAGGTATCCGTAAGCACTGCGGGTTGCCTGAACAATATTTTTGCCTCACTCGTCGTTAACGGAGGATCCCTTCCAGGTGTTTATATTGAGTCATCTTTTCTATTGGTCGATAGAAATCCGCCATTTTTAGGCAAAATCCGAGGCAAATTTGAATGATTTGAACTTTCTGTTGAAAATAGTAGTGTTTTTCAGTGGTTTCGCTGTTTCTTCTCATGCAGTATTATTTTCCATTGGATCAAATATTCCTGCAGAACATAATATTGGTAAATTAGAAAATATTTTCAATAATCATCATAATAATAATGATATTATGTCATATTTTCTATTGGTCGGTAGACATTAGAAATCCGCCATGTTGAGGCAAAATCCGAGGCTCCAGATGATTTGAACATTGTGTTGGAAACAGCAGTGTTTTTCTGTGGTTCAGTTATTTTGTCTCATGCAGTATTATTTTCCATTTGATCAAATATTTCTGAAGAACATAATATAGAAAATATTTTTAATAATCTTGGTTTAACCTCATTTATTAATTTTTTAGATTTCTTCTACCTGAATTTTTGTATGTTTCATATTTAATAAGACTGGAAAATATAGTACCTACCTACAGTATGCAGATTTGTAATGACTTTATTGAATGGGGACAGACTGGTTGTTCCAATAAGTTATGTGAAAGCTTCTAGAAACCTCTTATTATGTCCTCCATAGCTCCAGCTACCCCATGTGATTAAGAAGCTATAGAATACCAAACAAATAAAGAAATAATCTGAATGAAAATGCAGTGACTTGAAACAGCATGAAATTAAAATTACTTATGTTTCGAAAATGTTGAATTTTCAGGGTATTGTATGTGGTTGAAGTGAAAAAACTACCTATTAATATAAAAACTTTATAATATTTGCACAAAGTGGATGCATATTGTCATTTAGAATGGAAAGTTTTGTTTATATAAAAATGTCAGTAATCTGAATTTGTTGTATTTTGACTATGATTTTGACTACTGAAGGCAATAATGATAATTATTGATAACGAATAATTTTTATGAAAAAATTTCTTTTTATTTCTCACATATCTGACAAATACACTGCCCGATAAATATACATGTGAGTGAATTGACATTAATCAATGTAGTATTTTTACTATTATTATAATTATCAATTTCTTGATATTTGATTAGTTCTCCTAAACATAACAAATTAGTTATGATTTAATAAAATGATCATCATTGTAAAATACAAAATTAAACTGGGAAGAACAAAAGTTCACAAATTTCATTCCATATTGATCTGATAGGTATGTGTCCTAGAACCTAAAATATTGATTGATTCTGGCAGGTCAACATCTAGTCCATTCACTTTGTCTCTTCTCTTGAACAAATCCTGTGAACACACAATACCTACAAATTTTGTTAGACTGAAATGAAAATTCAAAAGCAGGCAAGATTATAGAGATAATCGTATTCTTCATTAAAAATTCAACTTTCTTCACTTCCATAACTTTGAACTAATTATCGGCTGACGAAACATGTACCTTCAATGATCTTTGATCATTTCAATAAAAGTTGTGATGACTTCGGGTTTTCATCTGTGTATTATTAAAAGTTTCCCCGAGGTTTTTCCCATATGATGCCGACTGTATGCATGACCCTGTATACCGAACACTCCCGACTCCCCTACTCACCCCTCAGCTCGATCTCCTCCCTCAGCACCTCCTCCATCCGGCCGCACTCGGCAATATCCAGCGCCAACTCTCCATCATTGTTCACCGCCGCCACATCGCCGCCTCTCTCGATCAGGTACTTCGCTATGGACAGGAAGCCGCAGCTGGCGGTGGCGTGCAGCGGCGTCCATCCCTCGTTGTCGCCGCGGTTCACGTCCGCCCCATGGTCGACCAGGAATTCGACCATGTCGAGGTTGTCGTCGATACACGCCTGAAACGATCATTTTTACTTTTTATTCAGATTTTTTTGAAGACTTCGAAATATTGGAACATTCTCGAACATCCTGGAACATTCTCGAACATCCTGGACCATTATCGAACACCTTGGAACATTCTGGAAGATTTTAGAGCAATCTGGATGATCCTAGAGCATTCTGGACCATTTTGCAACGTTATACAACAATCTGAAAGATTCTTGAGCAATACTGTACATTCTAGAAAACTCTAGAACATTATTGAACATTCTGTATGACTCTAGAGCATTCTGGAAGGTTCTTGAGCAATGTGGACGATTCTAGAGCATTATCGAACATTCTGGAAGACTAGGAAGATCGAGGTTGTCGTCATTGCACGCCTGCAAAGAATTGTTTCATTTTTCACGTCGGATTTTTTCAAAGATTCTTCGAAATTCTGAAACATTCTCGAACATTTTGAAAGATTCTAGATCAATCTGGATGATTCTAGAGCATTATCGAACCATATGGAAAACTTTAGAGCGTTCTGGAACCTTCTGCAAGGTTCTACAGCAATCTGGAAGTATCTAGAGCATTATTGAACATTCTGGAAGACTCTAGAGCATTCTGGAACATTATGAAAAACTCTAGAGCATTTTGGAATATTCTGCAAAGTTCTAGAGCAATCTGGACGATTATAGAGCATTATCAAACATTCTGGAAGACTCTAGAGCATTCTGGAACATTATGGAGAGTTCTAGAGCAATGTGGACGATTCTAGAGCATCATCAAACATTCTGGAAGACTCTAGAGCATTCTGGATCACTATGGGGAATTCTAGATCAATGTGGACGATTGTAGAGCATTATCAAACATTCTGGAAGACTCTAGAGCCTTCTAGGTACTTTGCTAGGGGCACACCCCTCGTTGTCGCCTCGATTCACGTCCGCCCCGTGGCCAACCAAGAATTCGACTATGTCAAGGTTGTCGTCGATGCACGCCTGCAACGGAGACTCAATACTCTTGACTCAGAACATTCTGGAACGTTCTGGAAGGTTCTAGTCCATGCTCGAACATTCTGAACGATAAGAGGGTATTTTTGAACATTATGAATGATTGTAGAGCATGCTCGAACATTCTGAAAGTTCCTAGAGAATTCTCAAACATTTTGAGAGATTCTAGAGGATTATCGAACCATTTGAGAGATTTTTTGATGTTCTAGATTATTCTAGAATATTCCAAGATTATTTCCAACATCCTAGAACTTTGTTGGAGCGCACGAAACGAAATTCCTATAATGCTCTAGAATATTCCAGAACGTTGAGGATCGTTTCAGAATATTTTAGAATGTTCTAGATTATTCTAGTATGTCAGTGATTCTTCCAGAATATTTGTGAATTTTAGTGACTCATCCAGAATATTTGAGAATGTCAATCATCCAGAACGTCCTAGAATTATTCCGAATGTTTGAGGATGTTTCAGAATGTTAGAAAGTGTTGCGAAAAAATTCAGAATGTTCAAGAATATCAGCATTCTTCAACATTCAAGGACATTTTCAAGCATTATCGAACCTTCTGGAAGATTTCATAACATTCTGAAACATTTCACAATATTTCAAAACTTTCTGGAATATTACAGCGCATTTTTGAAAATTCCGACACATTCTCAAACATTCAAGATTTCAGAGCATATTGAATGATCCAGACTATAGAGAATTATCGAAGCTTCTAGAAGATTTTTCAACGTTCTTTTTGACAATATAGAGCATTATCAAACATTCTGAAACATGGATCATTCGCGAATTTTCCGAAAGATTCGAAAACATTCTGAAACATCCTAGATGACTATATAGCATTCTAAAATATTTCGAAAGATCTCAGGATATTATCGAAACTTCTGGAGGATTCTTGAAAATGTCCCAATATCAAAAATCATTTTCGAACATTTTGAAATTTGTTCAAACACTTTTTAACATTCTAAAACATCCTCAAACATTCTGAATAATTCTAGAATTTTATGGATGATTCTGAACATCCTGGACGATTCCAGAGTAATAAAGAACCTTATAGACGATTCTATAATGTTCTATCTCTTTTTCGAATCTTTTTCTACAACATTATTGAATGCGGACTCGTAATTTTTTCAGAGGCAGTTTTTTTCGTCAAACTGCCAAGCAACAAAATTCTTATTGATAGATGTCAAGTTTAATTATAAGTGAAAAGGTTTTAGTAATTTCATGATAAACGACCATTGGTGGTGTGTCGCGTGCCTTGAATAATTGGCGGAGTCGTGGCTGGAACTGGAGGCTGATTTCTTATCAGTGTTGAAATGATTTGGTGAAGATTTATCAGAAGCAAACTTCCCCATTATCGTGAATCTAGGGCTATAACAAATTTCTAGAAAATATTAAAAAATGCGAGGGGTGAATCACTTTGGAAATATCTGTACATTTTGCTAAAAATACTAGCAATTATCAGGTAACACGAGAAATATTCAGACAATACATGCAATATTTGGAAATTCAAGAAATACATTGGCAACACAAGAAATTCCTTGAAAATACATGCAATATGAAGGTAATCTCGAAGGAAATACAGGAATTGTAATGTAACTCCTTTTTGGAAATACAGGCATTCATCAGGAAATACGAGGAATATTCAGGCAATACGAGCGATATTTTGGGAATACAGGCAATATGAAGGGAATACAGGTAATATGAAGGAAATACAGACTATTCTCAGGAAATACCAGCAATACATAGGCAATACAAGCAATATTTTGGAAATACAGGAAATTTTTAGGAAATACCAGCAATACAACATATGCAATACATGTAAATATATCTCTAATGTTTTTAGCCATATTCTGTTCTCTAATATTCTTAAACAAGTTATGAAGTTAGGGAGTATATTGCATCTTTCCAAAAAAAAACAGAAAATATGATCTATAACTCGAGACAAAATAACCTTCTAAAAACAGAGCAACAATACGTCATTATATGAAAAATCTCCACACCATGCTGGTATTACTCTTTATAATAAGTAAACTGTTAACATTAAAAATGTTGAAACCTGCAGCAAATTCAATCAAGAAGTAAAAGCGTTTCCTATCGAAAATGCTTTTTATTCTATAGAAGAATATATGAATATGTAAATCTCCATTAATGTTAGTGACCTATATGTCGAAATCGACACGTTCAAAAGTATATTATGTTTACATGAACTTTTTTCATTATTCTAAGGAGTTCAAGACACTGTTGAATTTTTTGTATTACAAACCGGACCATCATGTATACACTGTGTATCTTACATGATAATAAAGTATTATATTCTATTCTATAAGTGAATAGTGAAGTGAAGTCTAGTATAGTGAACCATCGCGTGAACCTTCATCATTATTATACAGGGCAAGTGGAAAAGTAAATTTTCTCAATTGAATCCCTTGTATATTATTGCAAATTTCAATAGATTTATGCATGACATATATATTTTTACTGTCATGCATGTGGGAAATATTTATATTGAATATATTTATCAAATTATACATCCATGAAGGCGAATGTGTGTGTGGATTGAAGAAGAGTAAATATCTCACAAATGAGAAAATATACTTTCAAGAAATGACCGAGACAACGATATTTAGCATATAGGATATTCCCTAGGGTATTCTTAATGGTAATCTATAAACGATAGATAATACTCTACAGTCTACCTATTGTCATTTATTTTTATATACAGGGTGGCCATTTTAAATCAAAACAGGGGCTCTGTATGTCGCCAGTACGAGATATTAAAAAAACACTGGAACACGTCAACTACATTTTTGAAGGGGACATCGTTCTAAAATAGTTTCAGGGCTGCGGCGTTGCCGCTTCTATCCAAAAGTGAAGCTAGTGAATTTTTCTTTTAGGCTCTCTGATAGGAAAATTGTTTAAACGCAGTAACATTTTGGGGCATATCATCTGATTTGCCCTTACTACACGTATATTGAAATGATATTCATATTTTTATCTTATAGAAAAGGGTAGAGAAAATCCCAAAAAATGTGGAATAATGAATGTACCACCTTCTCGATTAACCTCCAGACAGTATCATGACAATTCTTGTTTTGTTGTGGAATACAAGCGCTGTCGTACCTTCAGATTTAATTTTCTTACTGAAAACGTGCGGGGAGTAATAATCTATTATGCGCGCTAAAAATATCAGGAAAAAATCGGCCATCACTCGGCAGCTGTGAGTCGCGAAGCCGGCGAGATGGATTAGGTAATAATTTCCTAATTATAGACGGATTACGACAAGGATTACGCGATGGCTAATGAACCTGAAACTCCCTGGAAACGGTCAGCCATAACTCGCAAATCGAGTCGCAAATAAAGATCAGATCAGGGAGTGTGGCATACTTTCAGTTTATTCCACCCTGTATTCAATCATAATGAAGATCAAGATTGTATTTTATCACATGGCATGGCAATGATTTTGATACATTGTTTTCCAGTCTGTCTGTCTGTACTCTGTGTTAATCATAAATCGATATATCTCCGGAACCCTTTGACATATCGACTTGAAATTTTGCCATCTTATTGTACTCAAAACAATATTATGTCATTAAAATATGAAGGAAATCGGAAAACTCTAAGGTGGTTTTTCCGGGTTTTTTTGATTTTTCACCGAAAGTTTCTTACGACCACTCTACAAATCGCAAAAGTGGTCCGATCGATTTCATTTTTCGTGAAAAATAACTCTATTAGGAAGAGACGAAGCCTATTGAAATTGAGCAGGGTCGGGAAATTCCAAGTGGGTTTTTCAAGGAGATTTTCCGAAAAACACGGTTCGCTTTGAAACGACATATCTTCCTGAACCAATAGACTAAATCCAAATTTGAAAAATGCACCGTATGCCTCTTTGATTACTCAACAAATTATTATTCCACCATTTTTTCGTACATCCATCGGAAAATGGAAAAACAAATGAAAATCAAAACATCAAAATTTGAAATCCTGTCAATTCAATATATA